AAGTCACACCTACGGAAAACAATGTCATTATAAACTACTTGTATGTAAAGAGGATAATCCTGGTTGCAAATGCAAAGAAACTATACCTTGAACTGTATTGGAGACTTTTCCTCCATGCTTCTCAATTTGCTCTCTCCAATATTGCTTCACATTAAAGTATGACAAAAATCCATAAATGGATTTTAAAAATAGAACTTTGCATGAAGAGTAGGAAGATAAGAAGAATATATTACATGAGTTCGCGAGAGCCGCCCTGAGAGGGAAATCATCATGCCAACAAGAGGCTTGTCCGCTGGAGTCAATGGCCTCTGAGGATACGGCTTCGATTCATGGTCTTTTACCCACTTTAAATCACAAAGCACCAATTAATGAACAATAAAATTACCGCTTGAAAGCATACGTCAAAATGTAAGAGAGATCGAAACATGGAGTATTAACTCACATCTAAAACCATTGGATCCTTTATCTCATGTGGGACTTTAAGCACTTGTTTTTCCCTCGGCGAATCTCGGGTAGTATAAGTACAAGTTGTCCATTCACTATAAGCACCCTTACAAGCATAGTTGCTTCCAGTGCAATTCAATTGGTAGCCACAAACTGGGCATTTCTCCAAAGCACCATAAAACAGCATATCTTGGCTGGTAAAAACAATCACAGCAGGATGAACTTAAAAAGTACATAATAGAACCACAATTTTATCATTTGAAACAGACCATAGTTACCATCTATAAACAATTGCATCATCAGGACCAGATGAATCTTGATCATTAGCTTCGAGGATTCTGCGCATTTGCTCAACAGAAAGATGCTCTCTTGTAGCTCTGCAGAACTCGTCGAACTCTGCGGTAGTGCTTCCTGCAGATTTTGCACCGTCACCGCCATCCTCGCTGTCCGTGGATTTGGCCTTCTTGCTTCTAGAAGCCGGTGGCTCGCCATCGTGAGCTTTGCCCTCTGCCTTTTGCTTCCTTGTCGCCACCTTCCCTTCTTCCTCAAGGGATGAATGGGAGTGGGACCTCGTCTCGCGGACCTTCAAACAAAAGGGCTGACCGTAATCACTCCATAAGACTCAGAGATCTTATTACTACTAGTTTTCGATCTCAAGATGGACTTGTAATCTTCATGTGCGCTAAGGCCTCAACAAACTATCAAAATGCCGATCAAAGTCTAGTCTAGCCACATCAATTGCGCAAATTTCCTCTCTTTTATATGCTAATGCCATCCTAGAGAGGATTCATTCCGTGAGAGACTACTAACATTATGAATTCTCAATAACCCCCCGAAAAAAGATGGAACTTTCTATTCGATGAGATACTCTAATTAATCTACTTATTCAATTGCTATATAATTAGAACAATACGAAACATGGATAGTAATAATAATAATAATAAAACAGATCTTTTCAGCTATCCCTAGTAAGTCTCTAACTAAAATTCAAACAAATCAAGGGCCAAACTAACTAATTTCATCTCAGAATGGTCCGAGGATCAAAACAGCCACGACACCAGAACTAAAAAAAGATCAAAACTTTGATCAACTAACTAAGAAATTAAAACAATCAACAAGCAGTACTGCCAGAATTTCCAACCTTCATGCTGTGATCTTTCCCTTCGAACCTTCAACTCTTCTTCCCCCACCAAACAAAGACGGCGAAAACTTCCGGCAGCATGGAACCCAGAAAAGATACCGCTAGCGTTTAAATAAAGACCGCAACTTTGGACATCTGTAAGCTCTCTTCGCACGCGTCGCCATCTGAAGTCGCCCAAGTGCTGCTCTTTCGATACCGAGAAGACACGCACGTGGTGCTGGGATCCCCCCAGATTACGAGGAGGCAACAGGTGTTGAATCGAATCCATGCGATGAAAAACTATAACAGATAAACTCCCTAAATTGGATAATTATTATGGGGGCCTTAAAATAAGCAATGTGGCTTTGTTTAACTTTAATGACTAGATTAAGATGATGTCACACATTTAAAATTATGGATTTCTTGACTTGTCATGTGGTTTTAAATATGTGTGTGGTTAGTAGAATTATTATTGGTATCTAATTGAATAAAAATGTTTTTTTTTGCTGAAAATGTGTTTGAAATTGAAAAAAAAATTCCCAAATCTTCACTCGCGACAAAGAAAATTGCCTAAATTGCAGAATGAATGAACTTTAATAACAAAAAGTTGTCAGAAAAACTTTTAATATCAATTAGTTAAGAGGGGATAATTTACCAATTTGATAATTCAACCCATAAAAATCATTATTAGGGACGTTTGCTTAACAGGTAATAGGCTGCAAATTCTACAAATAAAGTTTATATTTCTTTCTTTTAGTCATTATTTTAATATATTTCGAGTATTAAAATAAGATATCTACGAGTGCTAAGGAGACTATCATTTAATAAAAAAAATTACTATATTTATTGCTAAAAGATTGTTGCACTAAATGTTGCAGAAACTGTTAAAATTAAAATATTAACATCACATCACCAAGTTAGTTAACATAAATCTGAGAATGTAGGTCATTTGCAATTTCAAAAACAAATTTTTAGTTTTGTAATGGATTACATTTCTTGCAACAAAAATATGCACGCCCAACTATTTTGCAAAACCAATTACACGTTGGATTTGAATATATATATTTTTACAAGAAAAATGCAAAATCACATCATATCATATATCGTACTCCCTTTAAAAGCACGAGTTCAGTAGAAATCTTTCAATGATCAATATTACCATTCGCTATTTTGAATATTTCATTTATATCTTAATCTATCCTAATCATAATTACATCATATCCTAATCCTACGTGAATTATCTATAACTTAGCAATTTAAAAAGTAATATTATGTGAGGTGCCTTACTAGATTCAATTTCAAATATACATTTAGTTCTTTTTTAATAATTTTATTGGATTCAATTTCAATCATAATTACATCGTATCCTTATTTCAAAAACAATTTAATTCTTTTTTAATAATTTCTTGAATCCATTTCATGCTTCATTCTGTGAAGTGTCTTATTAGATTCAATTTAAATATACATCTTATTTTAATTATTATTTTCCCTATTTATGGGTCAATTAATCACCAGAATGTTTAGGCCTTTTCGCCAATTTCATATTTTGATTTAACGGGTTATTTTAGGAGAATTTTTAAAAATATCACTTTTTAAAAATATTAGCAAAATCAACTATTGTCCAAAATAATTAACAAAATTGACCTCTTTTTTACCACGTCATCAAGACTGACAAAAAAAGAGGTCGCTTTTGTAAAAAACTATCTTTAAAATACATATGACTAATAGTCTCATGTAATTAGCGAACATTAATTACAAAAGTAATTAAAGCCAAAAAATATACGGGACTACCACTCTTGCGTATTTTGCAGTCAGAACCAAAAAATACACGAGACTATTGTATATGTCATATATATAATACAATTGCCCCAAGCAAGAGAGTTATAATAGCATTTTTCATTCACATCGTTTGGGGTAAGATTTGATAGGGACCTTGCATCAAAGAAAAATAAAATTTATATTTAGAGCACATGACGAAATATATAATAATTTTTCTGCTCTAATTTTATAAGAAAATAATCCTTCATACTTCTAGTTTTACTTCAATGGTACAAAAAATGAGTTATAAAATTGAATGAGAATATTAGATAATGTAAATACGAGTAAAACTATAACTAAAAATTAATGTCAATATGAATCAAATCACAACTAAAAGTTTAATAGACATATTGTAAGTAAATTCATATACAAAACTCCTTCGTGAATTGAATGATCATCTATCTTTTGAAGACTTCAAGATACTAATAAACAGAGATGTTGTGCTATATCAATGTCTTTATAACTCACAAATAGTAGATCACGTGGCGACACTCTGCGTTGAAGGAAACAATAACAATATTTCATTTGAAAGAGAGATTATTGAGTTGATGATCAATCTCGTAAAGAAATTTATTTTCTATTATATTTTTTTCTATTTTTATCAATTTAAATAATCATGACATTCAACCATGTGCATTGCACATGCATCTCAACTAATATTAAAAAAACAAAGTTATCTCTTAGTTATGTCGAAAAAAACCAGAGCCTTCCTCATATAGTGATGCTCCTTTATAGTGGGTCTGAGGGGCAAGAATGTAACTTGGGTCGAGTCCAGTTAGGCAGCTGAGTCGGCATACATATGCTACATGTCGGTTACTGAAAGAGGTGAGTCACCTAGTCATTTATTATAGGAATGATAGCAAGTTCTTAGTGTTGACTAGGTCCGATGAGTTATAAAGACTATGGGGGCTAGAGTAATGATGATGTTGTCAAGGCGGTTAATGCGAGAGTAGTCGGTTGGCGAGGGGTTCGAGGTAACTGCCGTCTTTCGACTCCTCAGGTCCAGGGCCAAGAAACACCGTCTTTTGACTGAGTTATGCGAGACGTCGGCCGAACAGTGGGCTGAGTCGGGTCGCTTGTGGAATCGATTGGGGTTGGCTAAGTGGTACCGCATTTTGACTCGGTTACGAGAGATGTCGACCAATTAAGTCGGCCGTGCTGAGGCGGATGTTATCTTGGTCTTGAATTAGTCGAGTTAAGTATAGTGTAAGACACGTGTTGACTCCTTTGTGGAGATTAATATTTAATATTTTTAGGGGTTATAACATTTATAGTACTAAATTATGTAAAAGCATAACTAAAAAATTAAATTAGATAAATATTTTATACCATACATACAATATAATTATTTTAATAGTATTGCTTAAAGTAAGAATTATAATATTTAAAAGGTAAATTGTAGTAAACTCTCATGAACTTTCAACATTTTACAATAAACAAACCCTATGAACTTTCAAAACCACAAACTAAATCCTTAATAAATTATGTAGAGAGCCCCCAATATATTTTAGAAAAATTACACCAAAACCTGATAATTTTCAAAATGTCTTTTTATGTCATTTTCTGGTTCTAGTTTATATGGTTATCTACAAAATTCCGAAAGTTATTAGAGGTCTTCTTTGAAAAAAAAACCATTAGAGGTTTAGTGTAATTTTAAAAGTTTATATCGTCAAAAATTCACAAGGATTTAGTGTAAGTTACCATATTAAATAATTATAATGAGAAGTAACTATTGCAATATGTTGTAGGTATCAAGTGTAACTATTTAGGGGACATCAGAAAAAGATATCAATATTAATGCAACTTAGTTAATTTAGATTTAAGTTAATAACTTTCAAGTTAGAGAGCCATATTTAAGAGATTATAGAATTGATAGTTTTATTTAAGAGCAACTTTAGATGTGGGGACTTATTTGAAAAAAAATATTAATACTGGACGATCATTATAAAAAACATTCAATTACAATAACTATACAATAACAATTAATTCATATATTTCTTTTTAAGCAATCTTATTATACATTTTTTTATTAACACAATTTTACTATTTAATAAAAAATTTACAAGTTCACGCGCTATGCACGTGTATTATACTAGTTTTTTTTTAAAACGATTTTAAGAGTTATAACAAATTCGCTCGGGGGGACTGGACGCGCGAATAGGCCTCCATGGGTATATTCACAAACTAGTAGATTGGGCCCATAGTTTTAAATGGAAAGTCTACTCTACACGGGCTGCACAGATTTGGGCTATAATCTCACACTGGTCGAAGCCTAACGAAAAGGTTTTCTGATGCAACGCCAAGCAGGCCTTTTTGGCTTTATTATCGATCCTCCCCTTTTTCGATCGATCAAATTGGCGGGAAATCTCCAAAACCTAAGAGCTCACGNATTTTCCGGCCAAAAATCCTCCGTTATTACTCTACCATTCTCCGCTCCTCCGGCGAATCGTCCGATTTCTCGATCAATTAGGGCAACATAAGGATTTTGTCAGGTATTCTACCCTCCGATCGTCTCTTAAGCTTCTTCATCTGCGATCTTTTGATCCTCTATTTTGTTAGCTTCGTGCATTGAATCCGTATGAATTTGAATCGTTGAAGAGCTAAAAGATTGTAATTTTTTGTGCTCTTCACGGTTGGATTATTATTTTCAGTTAAATTTAAGCTCAGTGGTTAGAGTGTTGCACTTCGTTCAAAGTAAAACATAAGCTCTGGCGCCTAAACTTGTTATAATTGTACACATTAGTCGCTATCAACGTGAACTTGGATTCTCGTACTGCTATCCAAGACTCGATCAACGTTAAATATATTTACATCTCTCTCTGAACACTATGAATTTATTACATAGTTTTGAGCTCTAAGACAGGCTTTCGTGTTATCCATGCTCGAATCCTTACTGTTTGTATCCTCAACTGATGATTGGTAGGTAAGCTATCTGTATTATTGGTACTGTTAAGATTAGTGTTACTGCGGTTCTGGAAGAGATGGTGGGAAATTCTGACCCTATTTCGTCCGCGAGACGATAGTGAAATAGGTGCACATGAGTTGCATGATGCAGAGGAATAGGGAAATGTTTGGTTGAGTGACTTTGGGCCTAGTCTGCAACACAAGCACTTTGTCATTTGAGGCTGGACCTTGGGCTCTATCTATAACTCCTCTGATGCAGGAGACGGAAAAGTTTGTAAAGATTTTATGGTGATTCAGATGTACTGCTTTTTCCCTTATGCTGTTTCGTTAAACTCTTATTAGCGAAACAGGAGGGCTTACTGCCTACTGATTCACTGAAGGAGAGGATGTACCCGATTCGTGTGGGGATTCATGCTATCTAAATATAAAATAACGGGGTAATTCAGTGTTATACTCATCTTCACCTGATAAGGTCTTTTTATACATTTGCCAAGGAGGCTAAATGCTTAAATTGCAGCTGCATTTCGCGGAGGAGT